GGAAATCACATACAGGCCCAAATACAAGCCCTTGGGAGAAGTCCCATGAGTGAGACCAGGATGAGAACCCAGGTCTCTGCTGGGCTGCTCAAGAAAAGGGAGAGAGAATTAGAAAAATGCCATCTGTCCAGGCACACAGGCTCGAGTTCAGCCCCTGTCCCACTAGCCTGGCACCTTCAAGTAGTGCTCAGTGGGACAACTCTGCTCGGTGGTCATGGATCTCGGGACTCCCAAACTCATGCGTTTTTCTACCATTCATGTTGCCGCCCACTTCAGGTTAGAATAATTATGTTAATTTATGGGATTTCTGGTGCTTACTCCTGGGGTTCTTGGCCTGAGGGATTGTCTGGGCTAGTCCAGATCATTTAGAAGCTCCTAGAGTGAACCCTCTGAAGACTGAGGGCCAGGTGAGCACACCCTGACTTGAGTCCCACAGCTCAGTAAAAGCCACGAGACCAGGGCAAGCTGAGCAGCTGTTTAATTCACTCCCATGTGCTGTGAATGGTCAGCATGTTTCCCGGAAGAGGCGCAGCCTCCCTGCTTGCCAGTATTTCGAGTTACCACAAAGCCCCTTAGATAAACAATAGAGCTAACGTCTACTTTCACTCATTTTCAATCTTTTCCACTGCAGGGAGTTGCTGAGCCCTGCCATCGTAATTGACCAAGACCCTGATAGTCTTATTCTGACACTATTTAACGATGCTCCAGGGGTGCAAGTGATCATTAGCATCATTAGAATGAGTGTGATCTTTTCAAGCTGACTGTGAGGATGATATGAGGTGACGCTTATTGAGCTCCTGGCAGGTGCCTCTTACCCCAACTTAGTCACCATAACAACACTGTTAAGAAGCTGTTATTAACCCCACCGTACTATTGAGGAAGTTGAGGAACAGAGAGCTCAAGTAACTTGGCCAAGGTCGTATAATTAAGGGGCAGAGCTAAAGTTCAAACTCTGAAATCTGTTCTTTTAACCATACGTTCTATTGCCTTAAAAATTCTGGCTTGCTTATGAAAATGCTTCTTATTATATTCATACTTCCTATTTGTAACTGTATGGACAATGTCTCAAGGCTGTTCGGGTAAAATTAGTTTTGGAAATATAGTGGATTTGTTCTCATTGTGAAATCATTGGAGGATTTTTTTAAAGTTGTCATTTTTCAGATATTCAAAATGTTTGAGATCAAATATTTATTATTCAACTTGTAGTTGTTTCCCCTAGACAGGCATCCATACGAAACAGGATTATTTCTAGGCCTGCCTGCCTGCTGCCTTGCGAGGGCTGTGTTAATAGCCTGCTCTCTTGGGTATCCGATGCTGTAGGATAAGTGCTGTTTATAAAGACTATGAGAGGGAGGTTATGTTTTCTAGGGATGAGGGATGAAAGTCAAGCACATTTTTCTGGAAGCAGAGAGCTCCCAAAGCAGTGCACTCCTCCACTCCCACCAACAGCCACTCTACTCAGTCCCAGTTCATCCCAGAACTTCTCCGGACCTGGAAAGACCATGCTGGGCTCATCTGGAACAGCCCAGAAGCCCTCCAGCAACCTGCAATCCAGAGCTCTGGGAACATCTCAGGCTGAGCCACATTCATCCAGGAGGGCTAGAAAGACCCACAGCTCCTTCACCCACCATCAGCCCACAGCAACGAGGGAAAATGCCACTCCCCCTTTGACACCATCCAGACTGCCCTGTTGTGACTGTAATCCTTCTCAAAGCCACTCTCATCATCACTGTAAACTCATATCAACTGCACACGTTATTTTTAAAGGATAACAAGGAGCCCACAGTGCGACTGACCTAAGCTTAGCAGCTCTCCAGGGCTGGTCCAGGGCCAGGTGTCTGCCCAGCCAGCCCTGCAAGACATTACATGATTAGAGACAGAATTAGACATGCAAGGAACCGGCACTACTACCAGAGGGCGGGTGTCAGGGTTCCAAGTGGGGAGAGGCTAGGTAACTGGGAAGGACAGTGCCCACCCTAGGGACTACACCATTTCCATGTCCCTAAGGGGTTCTACACCAATCAGAAGGGAGGATTCTTTAACAACAGCTCCCCAACCCGTGGCCGGGAACCACCAATGGCTTCTCAGAAAATGTTTCCAGGCAGGTGGTGAGCAAAGCCAGAAAGGAAAACAACAACCCCGGGGGCCCAGGAGACACAGGAGCTCGTGACTCTGACCCTGATGCAGAATTCACCTGCTTGGCAAGGTAGGACCATCTCACTCTGAGCCCAGGACCCAGTGTGCTTCTCTATGCGCTGCCTCGCAGGCTGGTGCCGAGTGAGCCCCTGGAGTTTTGCCCACTGCTCTGGGCCTGGCTCTACCGGCGACCACCTTAGTGAGGACAGGTGTACGGTGTGGCCATTTGTGGCAGTGTCTCTGTCCTTGGGGCCTCTTCAAATGGAGGATATTTGCACTGAGTAGGAATCATCAAATCAGAGACCTCCGTGGGCTCTGAGCCAATCCCTACATTTCCAGACGAGCCACCTACACCGGTATGAAAGAGCCATGCTTATCTGAGCCATATTCATTCATTCATTCATTCATTCTTGATTCATTTTACTGGTTATTAAAAATGTCAGGCTCACTTTCGAAAAATGTGAAATACAGGAATACATCAGGAAGGCCTTGAAAATCACCTGTAGTCCCCCATTCACTGCTTGTAACCTAACCTTTTGGTTTCGGGCATTGTCCCTGCTATGAATGTATTTGGGGGTCATTTATGAAAATGGACTTTCTATACTGTTTATATACTGCTTTTTCATCTTATTTCCTGAAGGTAAAATCCCAGAAGCGAAATAAAGCGGTAAAAGGGACAGACACCTTTAAGGCTCCTGCCTATTTGCAGGTTCATCTTGAAGCCTTGCGGGGGACAATCACACACCCTCCTCTAGCAACCTCTGAAAATGCTGGTAAACAAGTGTGTCATGTTTGGCGAAAGTTTGTGTCAGGAATAATAGGGGTAATAATCCTGACCTTCACTGCCAGGGAGTCCTTCCCGGCATCTGCACTGAATGCCTTCTGCTGACTTAACTTCAAACCTGTTCCTTCTTGTCTTGTCAGTGAAAGAAAAAACAGCTGCTTCCTGCCTGTTGCGCGCCTGACCTCCTCTGGGAAGAAGACTGGTTGTCAAACCTCTCCTCGCCCTCCCGGTGTGCTCTGATACTGGGGAAGGGAGCCCAAGTAGTCTGCATTTGCTCGAGGCCAAATGGGACCCACAGGACTTTTCTTCTGCTTGTGTTCTCCAGCCTCAACGTCCCCGACAGCAAGCCTGCTCCCCTGACAGAGGTCTCTGATGAGGGCCTGACCAGAGACGAGTATAGAGATTACTTCACTCGCCCACAAACAACACACTCCTATTAATACACGCCAGACTCAGCACATCCTGCACGGGAGTGCTGATTCATGGCTTAATGATTAAGCTGTATTTGGCCTTTACTGTAAATAAGTAAAAAGAAGAAAGTCTATATTATCCACTTTGGAATCTCTTTGGGCTCTTCACCAAGAGAAAACTTTCCTTCTATAAATGGATCCCACACTTATCGTGGATCTTTTCAGGAATATGAGTCTGGGGAAGAAAGGAGATGGATTTCAGTGACGTGTAAATCTAAACTCGGGTGAATATGGTCAATGTCTTGAAGTCATCGTCTAGGAACTAGCTTTTGGCTTTTGATAGAATCTGCCTTTCTAGTGATAAAAATAATAAGGTTAGGACATTTATCGGGCACTCACTAATGCGAGGCACCGTGCTGAGCATTTTGCTGATGCTTATTTAATTCCTCACAGTAACTCTACAAACTGGGTACTACGATTGCCCCATCTTTACAGAGAGGAGAGCTGAGGGGTTGAATGTACACGTGAATTTGGCTTAAAAACATAACACTTACTTTAGAGAAAGTAAGAAGCAGAATGAGAAATATAGCACAATACCATTTATAAAATTAAAAGACATGCATATAAAACTATACACATTTTATAAGAATACGGGTAAATGGAACATGAAACATTTTAGAGTGGCTATTTACAGAGAACAGGAGTGGGAAATGGGGATAAAAGGAAATAAATAGATAACAAGAGGGGCCTTGCCCACAGCAATGAGGACAATATGCCATGAACTGAGCAGGAAGTGCTTCAACACTCTGCACCTGAGGTCCAAGTCAAAAAACAGCCCCAAAGCTTAGAGCAGCGAGGGAGTAATAAACTGCTCCAGGCTACAGAGCCAAGGACCAGGACTCAACCCCAGATGTCTCGCGCCTGTCCCCTATGTAGCATGGATCAACTAGTCTGCGAATCTTCAATTCTTGAAAAGATGTCTGCCACATAGCCAAATCTCTTTAGGCTTCAGCATTTACACAGTTTATATTTAATGTTGAGAAAAAGTGGATTCACGATATTTCTTAAATGCTAAACCTAAGTGTGAGCTAACCAGCCAGTCATTTGTCCATCAAGTTTTTATTGAGTGATTATTATAAGTCAGGCACTGGGTCAGGCAGAGGGCAAACAGAGATGAAGGAGCCGGAACTCTGGCCTCAATGAGCGCCCGGCTACTGAACCCTTGTCTCCCGACGGTCAGGCAGGTCTTTCTCTTCCTGCTGGCCTCTTTGCAGCCCCGCTGTTAGGACAGATACACGGCTCAAATTTACACATGACTTTCTAAAACACTAACTAGCATTCCATAAGATTGTTTGGATTTCCACAAAGAAATTGAGCTATGAGGGACAACATTCATTTTCGTTACTGAGAATTGATTTTTCTTGCAGATAATCTTTCAAAATGGGTTGACCAAGACAGAATAACCCAGGTAAAAACCACTCTAGTAAATGTGGTAAAATCCGCCTTGTTGACTCATCTGGTAATTTCTCGTCCTGTACCAGGAGGTAAATATTTTAGAGACATATCAAGAAGAGGTCATTCTATAAGGAAGGAATGGGGATTTCTGGTGTGCTGTTGAGGAAGCCACAGAACCCCAGGATTTCAGGCTCCCCTGGAGTCATTCAACTCACCTCAATGGTTTTACAGGTGTCCTCCAACTGGCTGATCACTCCCTGGACTCGGTCATTGCTTCCCACAAGGACAGCAATGCCATCACTGAGCTCGGACTGATGAAGAGAAAAGAGGGATGCAAGAGCTTAGGGGTTTTCTAGTCAGCACCGAGTGTGGATTAGGCAAAATAGCGTCCTCGTGTGTTCTTAATCTAGGGTCCGTGGAACCCCTAAGGAGTAACGGTGAGGCCTGGGAGGCCTGTGAACCTCCTGAGCTTGTAAATAAAAGTCTGTATGGATGTGTATATAAATGCATTTGTCTGGTAAGAGGTTTCATAGTTTTCATCAAATTCTTAATGGAAATGTGGCTCTACTATAAACATTAGGAATGCTGAATTATAGGCCATAGATAGAGAATAGCATATTCATGCTAAAGAATTCTAAGTATTGTTTATAAATGGAATGGAGTCCAATATGTGATATCAGGGACCCAAAATGAATTATTTGCCTAGTGCAGCTCAAGATCAGTTTTACTAGGAAATATATATAGTAAATACTCATCCATTTATTCACTCATTCAACTTATTTATTATGCACCTTCGATGTCCTAGATGCACGCAAATACTCACATACTACACCAAGTCATTACAAACTTGAAACTGGTTCTAGGGGAAACGTTCCAACTTGAAATTCCTCTCAGACTCTTTTGACTCCAAGAGTCCATTGCTTATACTCACTCCCTTGCCAAGGTCAGCCTAGGGAGCGCCAGGGGGCACTAATGGGGACTCAGGAGGCCTGCATACTTGGTCCATCTCTGCCTTATCTTCTCTGTGATGGTGGGCAAAACAAGTAATCAGTTGGACCCTAATTTTCTCACATATACAAGTGAGGAGATGGGACTAGAACAGTGATTGTAAAACATTCTAAAGCCACAGAACGCTTTCTTTAAATGGAGGCTAGTACAGAATCCCAGTGGGTAAAAGTGAAGCTGCTCTGGCCAAACAGGAGCAGGGTGGAAATCCTGCCAGTCTGTCCTCTGTCCACCGCACGTGAGTCCCCAGGGCTCTGAGGGAAATAGTGTGAAACTGGTACTATTCAGTTCTAATAGGCTACGACTTGGGGGACGGGAGGAAGGAAAAGGGGGAATAAACCACAAGTGGACGGAAAAATAAATAGATGTTATAGATATCTTGCTAAATCCTGCTTCTTTACCAATTAGTAGTCACTGGTTGTAAGCGGAGTTGCCCAAAAGTTTGGCTTCCAAATTTAATTCCAACTCTGATCCTCACAGTAAACCACTGACCACACGTAGACTCTATGATTCTAACAGAAAGGAGCTGAGAGGTGCCGCTACTCACGTTCTAGGTGCCTCGAGTGGCTGCATCTCTGAACACACAACCACATGTCTGCTTGCATCAAATAGATAAGTTCCTACTTACCCACAGGTGAAACCAGGTTAGCAGGTTAGTGATAAGCTAGGGGATATGCTGTATTTGGTCAGAATGAGGCGGCTGAGGCTGGGGCCCTGGAGTGGGAGCATGTGCCACTCTCAAAGGAGGACTTTCAGAACTGACCTAGGTTGAAAGGCCAGGACCAGGTTACCGTAGCCTTGAGGGCTAGCACTAGGAAATGTTTTAAAGTTGCTCTTTAATGAAATGCCATTCATTGTAACTCACCCACTAGGAGTGGAGGAGAAAAGGCCTTGGGGGTATGGGGTCAGGGAGCGGGCAAAAAGGAACCTTTTATTCTGAGACTGGAGTAAAAAGTTATCCTTTTACCTATAGTCTGAACTTCAAATAATGTTTGAGCAGCTTGAGCTTGGACTGGGTCCCATAACACTGCTTGTCTTCAGCTACCTCCACTCTAAGGGGTACAAAAACAGCCACTCTTCCTCTCTACCCCCTACCTGACCCTCTGCACCCCTTCCCTCTCCGGCCCTCTCCACTATCCTCCAGAGAATCGACTGTATGGCCAGGTTTCCACAGCATCCCTTCCCGCTCCACCCCCCACACCCGCCCAGCCTTATGGCCCCCGTGGCCCTGCAGGGCTTGGGCCTCCCTCCTTGGGAGGCAGGGAGCCAGTCACACAGGCACTTGGAAAGGGCTATGGAGGAGGGTCCGGAGGAGCTCTGTTACCTTCTGCCTCTGGAACACGTGAGTGAGGGGAGCCACCTGGCAATCCTTGTGTGCCCCAAAGACTTTGCACAGAGAGCAGGTGGGGACTTCACAGTTCAGACAGTAGATGTTGATGCGCTCCTCTTCGTGCTCCTCACACATGGGCTGGTCCGACTTCTTTTCTGGTCTGGGAGGAGGTAGGCGGATCAATATGTCAGCTCCCATTGGGCAGAGCGGAGAGGGGTAATCAGCATTGCAAACCTCGACTAGTCCCTGCACCCCCCTCGACCCTATGCCCGAAGACTCCCAGGATCCCTTTCAGGTGCTCAGAGCCCTCCGCAAATTCAGTTTCCCTACTGGTTTAGCAGTAGTGTGCTGACAAATTAACAGCCAGCCTGGAGATGGGGACACAGAGACTTTGATCTGTAGCATTTGCCAATTTCCATGGTGTAAGCATTCCCATTGTGGTCCATTTCACGGTTTAAAAACCGGCTAGTGCAATTCCCCCTGAAAGTTGAACATGGAGCTCTTTCGTTAGGAGTGTGCTTTAGCAGTGTCTCCACACTCTCACAAGTCTCTCAAGACACTTTACATTATGAGTAAAGAAGGGGAGGTTGCTCATAAACCTCAAGTTTGCACCAGTCTTGCAGAGGTGCTAGATCCCATCCCTCCAGCCTCTGGCCCCAGAAAACACCTTTCCCACCAAAAGGAGTGAGAACAGGTATAGGCTGGGGGAGAGCAAATCTCTGATTATGAATCCAGGCACTGGTTGGAAGTAGCTGTGTGTGAGAGGGAAGATGTCAGCACGTGCTGTATGAATTTGTTTTGGTCTCCTCCTGCCATTAGCACAGAAAATGGAAATAACTTCCTGAGGACTTGGCAGTGGTCAAGAGTGTGTAGTGTGTGCTCAGTGAATGTGAACAACTGTACTGAATACTTTAGGCAATAAGAAAACTGCCACATGCTGGTCTGGGACATGGTGGCAGCTTGGAAGTACGAATCTCACTTCCAAGTTTCAGTTTTCTCAACAGGTCAGCACTAACCAAAAATTTTCACAACTGCCCAGGTAAGAATGGAGCATTGGGTTTGTACGTGCCGGTGAGACAATGACCAAGCAATGAAAACGTGAAAGCCTGAGAGGGTGTGACAAGTCATTGCTGCTTAAGGATAACCTGTTAGCTGTGTAATCACCTGGAGCAGCCCACGTTCACAACACAGCATAGAGCCCTGTGTATTCCCCTAACCTTCAGTGTGGTTTAGGTGTTATGATCAAGGGCAAAATTATGCCAAATTGTGGTGCTTTAGGCTCCCTCTGGAAAGCATGGTGAGAAATATGGGATTTTTATATAAACTGTCTAAAGACTGAGGCTGTTAATAGTTTTCAGAGGTATTTGGAAAATTTTAATACAAATCCAAAACCTTTCTCCTATTCCCAAACACATGGTCACTTAGAAGCATCTCAGATTTGGGACTGGATCTTTTTAGTTATCAAGATCCACTTCTTTAAAACTATAGGTTTTTATGAACCATGAAATTAATTACTATGGGCCATGAAATCAGTTTAGGGGGTCATGACTAGCATTGTTAAAATCAAAATAGAATAGCAAATACTGTGAACTACATGTAGTAAGGATAGATAAGTATTGATATGTGAAACTTTTGTTTCAGGTGTACATACATATGTATGTGTGTACATATGTGTGTGTACATATGTATATAAAAAGTATATCTTTTGTATATATCTATATATCTACATCCATCTATATATATAATAGTCACTGGATCACAATGTAAAATGTACTTCTGACAGTGAGCCATGAATAAAAATGTTTGAAAACCATTGATATTGATGTGTGGTATCATGTAGCTACAGCCCCAGAACTTAGAGAAAGGCAGAGAATATGCCAATTTACGTCTCTAAGTCACCAGGTAGAAGTCAAGTGCTTGAGATTGGGCTAGTGGTTGGGAGAAGTCCTGTGTCTGGTAAGGAAGTTGTATGGACTTTCAGCTTCAAGATTTTGGAATCTGATTTTTGTAAAAGGAATTTTTACCTGCTCTTGTACCAAGCATGTTTTCCATGAAGTCTATGACCTATTGACTTAACTTCTGCCTTATGCTTGGAAGCTAACTGGGGAAAGTAAACTCCACAACTGAAAAAACTATCCCCACTCCCAGGTCTGTCTGAGTTCTCCACTAGAATGTGAGCTTCACGAGGGCAGGGGCCATGGTCTATGTTCTTTTTTGCTGGATCCCCAGTGCCCAGAACAATGCCTTGCGTAGAGTGGGTGCTCAGTAAACATTTGTTGAGTGAATGAGTGAGAAATGAAAGGGAATTTGCCAAATTAATGGACAGTATTCCCTGTGCTCTGCCATGAAACTGCTCATCAGGAGAAGGCATGTGAAACATGGAGGAAGTCTGGGGTCACTTGACACCTATGAATGGCAAAGGAAGAGACCAGACAACATCCTAAAGGCTCCATTTATAAATGACAAAGCCCTCCAGAGCTTATCTAGAAATTCGGAGTGGCGATTTCCTTGGTCAAAGGCTTCTCCACCTCTAGAACCTTCCCTCCCAGTATCTCCACCTCATAATAAATGTCAAGCAAGTGTCTGGAGCACATTATTGGACAATGGCACAGGTGATACTACTGTGGCTCATCTCCCTTAGGCATTACCTGAGGGTAGCCTGCTTCTCATGCACTGGTCTGATGTCAACAGCTCTGACCAGAACTCAGGTATATGCAAACACTGACAATGTGGTAATAGCCATACAGCTCTATGTTTAGTTTTTGATTGTGATTACTTATTTTTTCATAATGCAATACAGACTGAGAACTACTTCCCATATTCCTTATTAAGTTTTTCTTTTTTAGGTGAGAACACAGGCTCAGAGGCAACCCCCACTTATAAACATGAGTGTATAATGAAAACCTCTAGACAACTTAAAACATATAATAACAGACATGGGACAAACATGGTGCATAGAATAAAGATGTAAATGCACTTTCATGAGGTGAGGGTGGCCGAGCTCACAGTTGTGGTTCAGGGCTCCGTGCCAAATGCTGGCAGTGGCCCCTAGCCATTCAGTGCAGGAATGGCTGTACAGTGCGAGGAGTCTGTAGCCTGCTGTCCGTGGTCTCTGAGGTTGCTGGGACCATCCTAGCATTTCCTGAAAGGTGGGCATCTGGTCTTGGCAAGGCATTTCAGGCAGTACTTTTAGAGTCAAACTGATCTTAAAGCTTAATTCCAGCTTGGCTTCTCCATGTGGTGGCTGTGTGGGCTTAGGTAAGTTACTTAACCTCTTTCAGGCTCAGCTTTTACTCATATTTAAAAATTGGGCTAAGGGTCTTCTAATTCAATGTGGCAGAATGAACACATGCATTTATTTATTTATGTTTCCCATTGAAATCCCACAAAATGAGAGTAAGGAAATAAAATGGTATAAATCAATAAGGACAAAAAATGAGCACGATGACAGCAGATGAGTGACACCAACAAAATGTTGGAAACTGGGAACATCTGGATGAAAGAAAGTGACCTACTTGAGTGGCATCTCAGTTCTGCTAAGTGCCTGCAGGGGAGAAGCCTACAAGAAGCAAGCTGACTTGGGGACCTTGGAAAGGCTCTGGAATGGCAGAGGCCTGGTACTCAAAGGTGAGAGTGTTGGGGAGGCTGAAAAGAAGAGGACTGTTTGCACGTTTTAGAAGATTACTTGAGGATGTGCTCCACAAAAACAGCAGAGTAAACCAACAAAGGAGAGGACAGAGGATCCAGAAAACAAGGGATTCAACCCAGGGGAGACTAAACATGAAGGAGAAGGAGAAGCCCAACCCCACGAGGGCACAGTCCTAACTGTCTATAGTGAAGTCAAAAGATAATGTCTAAAACTGAGAAGGCAAGAACTAGGAGTGTACTAGTAGGATACCTGTGGCACTGGGTGATAAGTAGCAGAAAGACAGCTAAAAGAATTAAAAGTGGTTGACTTTGAGAAGAGAGACTTGGGGGGCAAGAGAGAGTTGAGCAAGACAGTAGGCCTCATTAGAGGCCATTAGGACTATTCGATGTTTAAAATTATGTGTATGAATTACTCTGAGTAAAATATTACAAACTTTTAATAAGGTGGTATTAATAATCATAATCACAACCTCACACGGGATTGTTGTGAGAATTAAAGAATTACACGATTCATGTGTAAAGTGCCCTGAACAGTGTTTGATGCAAACTCAGCACATTTTAGTTTTACTAATTTCAAAGTTAATTATTATTATGTTCATTATTAATATTAGCGAAATTACTTCCTTCTTTCATCACCCTCTCCCCCAAACTGTGGCTGGTTCAGAACTATGCAGAATTCTAGATAATAAGGCCAGGTTTTGTCAAGACCTACAGTCTCTAGCCTTTCTGTGGGAGGTCAGAGTCGACCAGCCCCTCCCCTTTCTGCCCCCACTCCAGTGACTGCAGGCCAGAGCTGGGTTCATCTCACTCTGTGTGGCCAAGGTTATTGCAGCGTCACCTAATGTGCCCTGAGGCTCAGGGTTCTGGGCTGGGAAGGCTGCCAGCCTCCAGGGAACAATTGGGTTTATGCCCAAGCATGCGCCTGAGCCCTCTGCGTAACTTGTGGTTTTGCTACTAAGTAAAAGTGTCCCAAAGGCAAGTCTCAAATTCAAGAAACAACAGCATAAGAAGAATTTGATAATCGCAGAAACACCACTAGTGCACTCAGCTGTGAGCTTCATTGTTGGAAATTTGGTCTTTGCTTTCATACAGTTTGCTTGCCTGGGCACTATTTTCGGCAGATGCACCACACACACTTTATAGTTAAAGTCAGAATGCGTCTTGTAGTTTTACTCACGCTACTAGTTTTAACATCTCGTCTTTTCTGGATTTCCTAACAATTATTATTATTATTTCACATGTTTCAAGCTCTCACTGTGGCAAGTAGCAAAACAAAAAATTATTGCAATAAATAGAACATGTGGAAGATTTGTGGTGTGTTGCTTAATCAGCTGGCACTTGTGGAGCAACTGTTCTGTGCGAGGCACCGTATTAAGCACTGAATCTGTTGTTATATAAACTCCCTTAATAACGGTTTGGTTATTAATTGGCTGGTTAATTCTTTTAAGAAACAGTGTGTGTATTTGCATTTTAAAGTAATTAAATACATTGAGATCAGATCTGTGAAGCAACAGCAACAACAGTACTTTCCTTCCTCTCAAGAGGACTTTGGAAGCGAGGGCAATAGCTGGCTCCACATCTCTGCAATGTCACCAGCGACTCTTCCTCCCCAAATCCATCTATACCCAGGCACTATCTAATTCAGTTTTCTTAAGCAGAAACTAATAACCATAATGATTATAATAATTATATGTTAGATTTATAGAACAGCTTTCTTTCTAAGAATGCAAGGCTCTTAGAGCCGTGCAGATGTTCAGTAAATACAGACTCCTAGTAAGAATCACAATGAGGTCATTTCTGGGTGTTCCCAATATTGCTATCAAGCTTCGTGGACTGGCCTGGCCTATGTGTACGTCTGAAAAAGGGCTCTTCACACCATGCCTTCTAGGAATGAGCTCCTGCAACCATGGCGCTAGGAAAGGCACTCTATAGCCAATGTGATTCAACCAGCAAGAAGCCTTTTTTAGGATGTGTGAATGGATGTATATACTGCATATCAGTCAGCTGGTAAATGCTAAGAGTGTGCAGTAAATACGATCTAGAGAATAGGGAAACATCACCTGAACTCCATCTTTTTTTTCTCTAAAGTTTAAGTAGCTAAAGGCCAGGACTAGGACTTGCTTTGCAACTTCCCAGAGACAATACCACAATTAACTACGTTAGAGGATTTTGTTTCTATTATTATCATCTAGATAACTTTAAGGTGAGACTGTCTGAACTAGGGACTGGACTATTTTGGAAGATGGCATTTCTGTTAATTTTCTGTAAAGTTTTGTACTATAATTTTTCTGCTATGTAGAATCTGGAGCTGCAAAGGACCTATGAAGGGCAGAAATGTCTACAACACATGTAATAGAAAGCTTGAGTGGGAGCAGCATCATGCCTCTTTCATTCTCACCATCTGGACTGGATTAGTGTTAATCAGTTACTTCGTTCTGAAATTGATACAAAAGCATGGGCACCCACTCCTTTCTCTCCTCCCATGAGCAACTCTCACTCCCATTGGGAACGACTGACTTGGAAAAACATTTTCCTATAAAACAATTAGCCCATGATGGGTAAACAAGTATTCAGTGTAGCAACTCACTAAAACAAACAAATAAGCAAAAACCGGCTTCAGATGGGTTTGGCACAAGACGAACCATACCTGGTGGACTCCTGCTTGTAGATGTCAATGATATTTTCCACCAGCAGGTTCCTCTGGAGTCCGTATATCCCATGTCTGTCCAAAACCACTTCATGTCTACAGGACGGGCAGCGGAATCGGCCCCCTGATGCCACAGTGGTGCCTCCTCTTGTGGGCAAATACGGGTTAGAGGCCTGTTCTTGCCAAGCAAGAAAAGAAGAATTGAGTAAGGCCACAAGTAGCTTTTCTGAGGCTTGTTTTCACTCTCTGTTACCACAAACAACATCAACTTCTCCTTTAAGCTTTCCATAAAATAATCCTTTAGGGCCTTATCAGCAATCAGTCCCAAAACAGGGGGCCAGCACTTAGCCACAGTCAACTACAGTGTTACCATTTTCAGCACAAAGTGCTTTTCCATCCAACATTTTCATAACCAAAGGTTCCAGCGAGAAACCCAACAAGCAATGTCTTGGGCAGTAATTCATTTACCATTTTGAAACAGACTCAATGTTTTTACTTTTTTAAAAACAAAGATGATTCCCAGTATTGAAATAAAACTAGATTTGGGAATTAGACAGAGGCTGAGAGCACAGCACAAAACAAATCATTTAAAAAAAACTTGTTTTTCTTGAAAATGAACGCAGCCTTATAAAGTTTTCTAAAGGAATTAACTTCAAAGTTAAGCATCGGATTCGGGAAGGAAGGAATCTTTTCCACCCCTTAAATTCCAAACAAACCTACCTGGAAAATATCACTGGCACATTTCCTACACAGGTTGTGCTGACAGGGGAGAATGACCACGGGTTTCGTGAACATCTCTAAGCAGATCGGACAGATGAGTTGCTTTTCCAAGTTATCCATGGTCTGCTGCTCTTTAGAAAAAGACTTGTAATTCAAAGAAGCGCTCATCTCCTGGCCGTCCCCGTGTGTGCTGCCAGGGAAGGGGTGCTCTGAATGGTTTCTGCGACTGTTTCCTGGAAATAATTCCAAGGATTGTGTGATCAAGTGTCCTTTACGTTTCTTTTGGTGGAGGACATGATTTCAGGCCCAGGTTCAGAGTGGGTGCTGGAGCTGTTTTTAGCAGTCAGGGGTCACGTGAGAGTGGGCTGACTTGTCCATATAAGCCAGTGACAGGAGGATGGATTCTGACAGGTGACAGAGAACAGAAGCCAACATTCCTGCCCCAGGGAGTGAAGAGAGTGGGTGGGAAGGAGGATTACAAACCCCATTTAGATGGGGCTGTGAGAGGAGGTTGAAGCTGACAGTTGTCAACAACAAGTGCAAACGTGCATGCCTAGTCACTGAGCCAGCCCCTCCGTGAGCACTCAGTAAGAACGTGGTGACGGGTTTCTGCAGGACAGGGGAGGACGCAGCACAACAGTCTAACTGTGTGAGGAATGCCGTTTCTGTCTTGAGAGTTTAGGGAACATCTCGCCCAAAGTAGCATGATCACATTGTCTTAGGTGAAAACAAATAAAACAGGTCTTGAAAATCATTATCCTGGCTTCACGAGGACAATTGTCTAAAGAGACTTGCATAATGTGAAATACTTCATCTTTGCCAGGGTTGTGGTCTGGGAAGAATTCTAATTTAAAAAGTGAATTCAAATCTTTTTACCATAAAAGTGTCCACAAAATTAAAAAAAAAATTCCAAACACTAGTTGATGATCCAATTTTTGAAAAAGTTGTGTACTAAAACTCTAGTATGCTCTTTTCTCTTCCACATTGCTCTCCCTCCTCCCTAACCCTCTTTCTTCCTGTACCCTACCATCACCCCTACGTATCCTAAAACACAAAGGAAATTTGATAATCTTTAAAATTTAGTGTGCAATGATAACCAGTAATGGAGTAGTAACTGGCACATGGGGTAGCCGATCTATTATTTCATTTTGTCATATGGCGGGGGACTAACAACAGATCAGTGCCGCTGCCAACTGAGGTGAAAATGGAGTCCTGCTGGCTGTACAGTTGCTTCTGACTCCTAGTGACCCTGTTTTTATCAGACAACGCTACTCATAGGGTTTTCATGGCCAATTTTTTCAGATGTGGGTGGCCACGTCCTTCCTAGTCTGTCTAGTCTGGAAGCTCCGCTGAAACCTGTCCACCATGGGTGACCCTGCTGGTATTTGAAATACTGCTGGCATAGGCAGCCAGGTGGTGTGGTTCTCTCACCGGGAAAGGAACCTGGCTGTAGCAGTGAGAGCACTGAATCTTAACCATTCGACCACCAGGGCCTGCTTCCGTACCTGGGTTCTAGCTAGTCTGAAATACCTATATCCATTTGTATTTGCTTCTTCCTCCAAGCTAGTTTTTTAAATGCTACTTTCCCTGGTCATTTCTGATATTCTTGGTCTGCTCTTGAGTTACAAATATCAATTCTGACATTTTCCAGGATTTTGTGAAACAACTGTTTCATCAATATATATTTCATCAAAAAATTTAAAATCAGGTCAAAAATGAAAAGGAAATACATGTCTATTTTTTATGTGAGGAATTTGCAGCTTTATTTCTCCTTGATTTTAAAAATCTCAAACAATGAATACATTTGGTTAATATATCCCCAGTGTGCACTTAATTACCAGTAAGGAGTGGGTTGGTGTGATTGGTTATGTGTGGTCTTAGTGTTGCATGCACTGAGAGCTTATTGAGAATCTAATAAACTCCATTAACTAATTATAAGTTAACTGCCTAGGCTAGGTGAACTGAATTAACTCATTTAAAAAAATTCACCAATTCCCTTCTTCACTGTAGTTGCTAAATAGATACTGAAAGGAATGACAACAGAAGCAGTGACAGTGGGGCACAGGAGTGCTCAGAGCGAATGGTGCTTTGCGCTGGAGTGCAGAGCATGCTGCTGGCACACTGGCAGGCCATGAATACTGTTTTTAACACTTAATAAATTAGGCAACAGGAAGTCGTTAAAAGTTTCTCACAGAGAAACGTTTCCACGAGAGCTGTGCGTTGGATAGATAAATCGGGCAGCAGTGGTTGGGATAAATGAGAGTGAACATGACCTGGCCAAAGACCAGATGAGAGGTTATTACCAACAGCCTAGGTTAGAGGTTATGACGCCTTGGCACAGGCAGATGGCAGTGGGGAAGGAAAGGAGGAAATGGACTCTGGGCTGGTGACGAAAGTAGAATCCACAGAGGTGACTCAGACGCTCTGAGTCGGAGCAACCACCGATGATACAGTGAGAGGCTGCACAGTGACTCAGGAGACCGGCCTCTCCAGCTCCTAGGTCCACCCTGCTTTGTGATCTTGGGAAAGTGACCTCACCTAGCTGGATTTCAGTTCTTTTATCTATAAGTGAGTGGGGTTCATACCCTAACTTAGCAGTATTTGTAGAAAAAAACACTCTGAAACAGTATTAATTTTGACATTGAGAGTCCCAAATTCAATTATTTGATATAGAGTTGATCCCTATCCTCTCCTCTTTTTTACTCTCTGCTCCTTCTTGCTCTCCGCCTTTCACGTTTTCTTAGAACTGCCCCTGGAAACTACACAGGAAAATAGCAAGAATCCCATAGGAATATGAGCCAAGTCAACAGATAATAATCACCTTCCCCTCCTCAACGTCTTTTCTCCAATCCTCGCTCCTCCCCACTCTCAGAGACCAGTAAGCAATGGGGTGGGCATCTGAGTTGGGAGTGGGACATGGGAGTAGCACTCTGCTCTAGGGAGGAAACAAAAAATTTTAGTCTGCTCCCAACTCATTCACAGAGATAGGGAAAATTCTGGAACTGAATCAGAATGGAAGTCAGTTTTAAGGCTCTGGGATTTGGAGTGGACCTGGGCCTCCACAGAGACATCAAAACTAGCTTAGTCTCCAGAAGGCATCCTGGACTATACAGGAGTGGTGCACGACTTCCTCCTTATCTCCTCCCCTCACCCCACCACACACTAGGACAGGGGGTTGAAACCAATCTGGGGGAATTACACAGGGCACTGCCTTAGTTGGAATCCCCGATTGCCTCTCATTCTTGAGTCCCACCAGACTGGAGCAGGAATATGTTTAGATACATTGGGAAGCTGAAGCTAAACCACCGCTGTTCTCACCTCGTCCAGCAGTTTCCCAATCTCCCAGATAAGTCAGAGGAAGCAAGATGAGTCCCTAAGAACCTGAGTATATGCCCAACAGTGGCTTTGGCACTGAGGGGTGACAATAGAAAGAGAAGGCTTTTGACCTCTTTCAACCTCTAGCTACCAGGCCAAAAGGACTCAGACTTCACGGACCAGGGCATAGGAGCGAAATGTAGATATCAGTGTGTTCTTTATCTCAGGAAGGGAGAAAACGAGGTTCTACAATCTGTTACTTTTAGTACTATAACACCACAACAAACATAATAAATATGTACAGAGTACCAATCACTTCTTAGAATAGTTCTCTAAGTTTTATCATCTCCACTGAGCCAACTGTGGCTCAGTGAAGTTAAGTAGTTGCCCAGTGTCATATGGCTGCTAGTTGTGAAGCAGATTCCAAGACATATCTTTTGACTACAGAGCCCGCGACCTCATCCACTACGCTATGCCACACCCATGCTCTACAGCGCACTGTCCATTAGAATTTTGCAATGATGTAGTGTTCTATATCTGTGCTGTCCAACCTCTAGCCATGGGTAACTATCGAGTACTTGTAACGTGGTATTGTGCAACTCAGGATATGAATTTTTAATTTTATTTAATTTAAATTTAAATAACTATATGTGGCTAGTGATTATCATATTGGACACCAGCCCTAGAACATGAGATATTAAAAAATCTTGGGGGAAAATTGGAATGTATATGAAGGATTCTCCAACACGAACTGGGTCCCCCTCTTTTGGTGGATTTGTACTTCCTGGTTAGGGTAATAAGAAACTCCTCTCACCCTAGAGTAGTTAGAAAAGCAACATCAACTCTTCATTCAAACTTGCAAAGCAAGACAGAGCATTCTGGGAACAGGAGGCATTAGAAAGTCCCAGGGGATCAGTCTTAGGAGTGCTGCCCTTCCTGAGGATTCCAGAATGTCCTTGGCATTTCACTTACAGATGATCTCTCTGTCTCTTCAGCACAGGTAATTGCAAATCCAGATACTTGAAAATAATCCAGGTTTAGCTCAAGCAACTAGCTAGTCATTCATCAAACAAAACAGAAGACTTATGGTCAGATGGACGGTGGAGCTAGAGGGGAGTAAAAAGTAGATACAGTTTGAGGCAAAGCAGTAAGGCAGATAAAGTTTAGCTTTGATGGAAGAGAAGACAAGAGGAACTAAAAGGCTGATCTTGCTTCTGGATCAAACTAGAGTAGAAGGAAGGAGAATTCTTCCTTCTTGTCCCCTTCTTGTTCTTTTTCTTGAGAAAGTTGGTGGCTGACTAAATCTTTAAAACAGGGAGAGAACACCAGATGATGTGGATACGGAGGGAGAGAACTGGGGATTGCTGAAATGGGGGTTTAGTTAGACTGGAACACTAGGGCATGAGTGGACTGAAACTTCAGGTCAACTCTAGCGCCGGTTAAATCTCCTTCAAATCACTTTAATCCTATGGCAAACTAAAGGCCAATGCTTAACATTGTGCAGACCAGGTCCTCTTAAACTAAGACAATGAGGTTAATTCTTTTGTGCAATATCCATCCATCCATCCCTCCCTCCCTCCTTCCCTCTCTCCCTTGATTAGTGAGAGCACCCTAGGTGACCTGTGGAGAAAAGCAGCACTTCATTTGGGATTTAGATGAACTGGTTTTCTGAGTGCTGGCCTCTGTTGATCAGTGCTGCCATCTAACCACAGGAGACATATATAGAGTATAATGTTATTTCTTTTGGTATCCTGGAGCTCAGAGTGTGATCCAAAAAAGCACTTTCTAACCATTATTTGGCTTAAGAATTTGTCTCAGATAAAAAATATAGTTGAAAAAATATATATACTTGAAAAAAATACAATCCAGAACTCTCTTTCCAGTAAAAGGATTCTTGCAATCTTCTTACACCAAAGACTCAACTCATGACATCTACAAAATACTTAACATTTTGTTCCTGTCTACAATGACAATCTTTTCAATTTAGCTGCCTATCTGGCAATAGGCAGTTTGAATACATGATTTTAAAAGTTTTAATGAAAAGA